TGTTTAAGCATAGTTAATTCAGAAAAAAATGACTCTGATACTATCTTCAAATGACAGGTAAATGCAGTTTTTGACTGGCAAAAAAAAACTCTTAATTCAAAAAAAAGTTAATCCCTACTTTTTTCATGACCCTTAACCAAAAAGTTTTGGCGGTCAACAGACACTGGGACTCCATCATGTAATATCACAAGATCCTTATCAAAAACCGATGAATCATCGTCTACGTACGTAAGCTCTAGTTGAAAAGTCCTGCAAAAATTTCGTTCAAAACTGATAATTTAAAAGAAATTAATAACTTCGAAATGGCAGACTTAAAAACTAACGAAAATGATTTTAGGAGCACAAACCAAGAAACTAAAAGTCAAAAGTTCAAAAAATAAGCAAAATTCGTTGATAAATGACAACTGCATTCTAACATCAAATAAATTAGTGAAGCAGCAATTCTATAACGCAAATTTCACAAGTTAAAGGGTAAAAAACAAGTAACGCCATCAGAATAAATAAGCCACCTGTTGTGGAAAGCAAACTTCAGTTCGATTGGCGATGATGAACCATACACTGATCTCCTCACTCGACTACTTACGGGGTAGTAATCTAACGTCTGATAGGTGTCCACATATTTTGACAAGCCATCAACTGGAACTGACTTATATAATACGGTACTGTTTTGTCATAATACGATAAGCTTCCACAAATGATAAAGTTAAACTCAAAACAACTTGGTAATTTAATGCAAAGCCAAAGCTCAAAAGTCCCAACCATAAAATTTACTTCTTTTAACTTCTTACCTAAAGTATCATTTTCACCTACATATTTACGAGTGTTTTTTAAGCTTAACAATCACATCAGACGATAACCTCCAAAAAACAAAAGGGACGTTCATCTGAATAACGAAATTTTCCAGACCTTGATAATCTTTCTAGAAGAACACTTTTTACCCCAAATTATTTTCAATTCTGACCTAAACCTTGAAATAAAAAAACAATAAGTTATCACTACAGAAATTGCAGATATCCGCCTCCGCTGCTTTAATTTATACCATTAGACCGCTATACATAGAGGAATAAACTGATCGAAGATATCTAAGCTACAGTATTAGTGGGTAACGCGGTCGATTAGCAGCGGAAAACGGCTTTCCACCAAATAATCTGCCACCAAAACTTGCTGGTTAGCTCCTGCGGCTTTTTAGATCGAACACATGCTCGCCAGGTTAAAACTCTTAGAAACTAGCATAATCATTAGTTGCTTAATCTTCAGATGCAATGAGTAAATAAAATAATTCCCTCAGCTAAAATGTCAGAGGTCCTACTAAAGTAACACTCGTCCTTCCAACTAATAAACATCCATAATTACATTCACTCACTCACTCATTTATTTATCCACTTTTTTATTAGAAAGATTTCAGAACAAGTCTGCGAGCAAAAGTTACTCTGCAACTTTAAAATTTTTCAACCATGCGTACCTAAGTAAACGTGGCAAAAAATTATAAACAGAATTGGATACATCTGTGAGGATCAGCTGTTTGGACTCATAACACCTTCCTGCCCGGCTATGTCCTGAAACTGTACTTTGTTACAAATGACTATATATATATACTCATCTGTAACGTTCAATATCCGGAATAAATGGGAAGTGGTGTACAAAATCAGTAGAACAAAACCAGTGTTTTTATTGTAACTACTATTAAGACTGAATAAGACTGAAGCATTAAAAGGTTACAACATAAATAACTTAAAGAATGGGGAAGAAATTTAGTAACTGAAATCTGAGAAGAAAACATGGCTCGTTATAAGTACACGACAGGTGCTGGTGTATCAGTCGAAAAGCGATAAAAAAAATACGGACATACAAATGTCACTTGCTAGAGTAAAAAACCAGTTCACAAATAGACTATCTAAATACGACTCATTCTATCTGACATGTACAAGTCATATAACTAATTTTTCAGCTACCTACTGGTCACGTCACTTTTCACTAAACTGTGCACGAGTCACTGGATTACTGGTTCAGAAAACGATAGCGTGGAAAGAAAATACCAAAAACATTACAAAATAAAAAATAGAAAAGAACTAGAAACAGTGCCCTAACTATGGCTTGTGGCAGATATTGAAAATCCTAAATTCGTAGGCCAGTGTAGCGAACTTTTTTCACGCGTAATTCATTCGGATGATTGGGTAAGAAAACAAGATAATGACTTATTCATAATTTCAGAGGGCAAAGAAAAAAAGATAAATCTGTTGATGACCAACGTATGCTACTACATCGTTCAGCTGCGACAAAGGCCCTTTTACCACATTTATGTAACGAGTGCCTTTCGATGGCGAAAAGTTTCAAAACTTAAAAAAATCAAGTTCTTCCACTAAATAAAAAAACTGCAACTCGTTCGATTGACTGATTTAACCACTAGAAAACTGTATGGTCACTCTAACAAGGTAAAACTAACAATAACTTGGCCATCATTTTCTAGCAACATCCATAAGATGTAACTCTGTGCGTCGCAAAGAAAAAAAAAGAAACCAACTTTTTGTAAACGAAGCTGGAATGCAAGCACAGTACTATGGAAAAAAGCATACAGCATCAAGCAACTGTTTTCCTTGCTGTGTTTGTTACTTTTGCCGAAATGTTTAGTACTATGATGGCAGAAAAAAAAAGCCAATAAAAATTCAACAAGAGAAGCGTCTGTATATCAAGAATATGTATTCATAATGCACTCTTTTACAGGCCATTTAATGGAACATTGTTGGTGCTTGGCGTTGGCCTCTCATCTTTTGCAATTACAGCTTCCCCTCTTTTCATCATCCAATTCAAACAAACAGCGTCCATTCGAGAAAAACGAGTGAAAATAAATAAACATACAGGTAAACAAATGAACAATACAGGTACCAGTTCAATAAAAAATAAGATGACCAACGGTACAGATTTAAATGGAATCAACCCCCTTAGTCTCCCAATAATCGACAATGTTTTAAAAGCCATCGATAGAAATATCATTCGTTACCAATGCAGTAATATAGTAACAGCGCGACAAGCACCAAAGTATGAAGCGACAATATGCCGGAAGCGGTAGGAAACGCGCCAAATTACAGGTGCAAACCATTACCGTTCGGCTGGACCGGTCGCATTCCCAGCGACGCATCATTTGCCAATGCACGGCACTCAGTGTCCATTAGTCCGGCGATCTGTTGGCCTGTTGGTGTTGTCTGTTTGCTGCTGGATTGTTGGTTGGTTCATTAAGTAGACAGCAGCGTTCAGATGACTGCATAATAATGGCAAGTTGAAATCGCAGTAGTATAGTTGTCGTCAAGGTTAGCTGGGGCAATTGTGAGTGTGTGTATGCGTGTCTTTAGTTGTGCCCCCACCCTCGTATATGTGTGTGTCTGTGTGTGTGTCTGTGTATGTGTGTGTGTGTGTGCTTGCCAAGTATCCCAAAATTCGCAGCAACAGCAATTGCAAGCGGCAATAGCAGGTTCTATAAATGAAAAATAAAAATTCTCTTTTTTCTTTTTTTAAATTCAATATGAAGCAAATGGATAAAAGTTCTCCATAAAATTCATCCCGTTGAAGCGACGTTCATCGGCAAAAAAAAAGTGCATAAAAAAATCTGTGAAAATTCACAAATTTAATGTTTGTTACAGCATTTCTCAGCGTCCCTCTCCTCGTTTTGCCATCGTCTTCCCTAAATACTATGTGTGTGTGTGTGTGTGTG